CCCCTGGCCGCCCTGAACGTGCGCGTGCGCCGCCGCCTGGCGCTGCACCTGAACCCGCGCACGGCCGTGGCCGCCGACTGGACGGTGCTGGCCGAGGAGATGGGCTTCGAGTACCTGGAGATCCGGCAGCTGGAGGCCCGGCCTGACCCCACTGCCGCGCTGCTGGACGCCTGGCAGGCCCGGCCGGGAGCCTCGGTGGGCCGCCTGCTGTGGCTGCTGGAGCAGCTGGGCCGTAAGGACGTCCTGCAGGAGCTGCGCGCGGACATTGGTGAGGGCATGGGGGGTGGGGGGATAACCCGGGGGGCGGCATGGAGGGGGGGTGCTGGGGAGGAGATGGGAGCTCAGGGACGGAGAATGTGAGGGGTGCTGGGTCCGGGCATAGGGGGGCATGGCGAGGGTGGGATGGGGGGTACATATGCCCCATGCCCCTCTTGTTCCTCATTTAAGGGGCCTAGGGTGGGGATGGAAGGGGAAGGGAGTTCAGGGGTGCCCCGGGATGCTCATGGAAGAGAAGGAATGGGGAGAGGAAGGGATATCAGAGATGCCCCCCCTACTTTCTCCCATAAAGGGGGTACCGAAGCTGGAAAAGGCCCCGATTGGAGCCCGGAGAGGGTCGGGTTTTCCTGTCCAGGCCAAGGGAAGGAAGAAAGGCCTGAAAGAAGAGACCTTGAAAAAGCACAGAGGGGGGTGGGGTGCGACTTGGGGAGCAGAGGAACCCCAAGCCTCAGTGGGGAGGGACTAAGGGGGGGGGAAATGGGGAGCAGACCATACCCCAAACCTTCTGGTGCCTTGAAAGGTTCCAACTGGGTTTGTTGTGGTTTGGGTCTTGGCCTGGGCGCTGTCCGTGGGCTCTTTTCACCCGAGGTTGGTGCTCTACCACTGGAGCCACAGTGCCACTTCTGGTTCTCTGTGGTTCGCTGGAGCCGGGAGAGTCTCTCACGCCTTTGCCACCCTGGTTTGAGGCCAAGCCCAGACAGCCAAGTCCACGAAGTTCAGGGAAAGACCAAAAGCCAGAACTGGTGTGCTGTGGCTCCAGTGGTAGAGCCACCAGCCTTGAGTGGGAAGAGCTCAGGGACAGCGCCCAGGTCCCGAGTTCGAGTCCCAGGCCTGGCACACGCACGTGTGTGCACCCCCCCTAACACACACACACAGAGGAAGGGGGTGGGGGAGGAGGGATGGGCCTGGCCTGAGGAGAAGGAGCGGTGGTCCTGCCCCCCAGCCATGCCCGTCTCCCGCAGAGGAGAACTGCCAGAAGTACATTCGGAAGCAGCAGGAGCTGGAGGCTGAGAAACCCTTGCAGGTGGCCCGAGTGGACAGCAGCGTCCCCAGGACCGAGGAGCTGACCGGCATCACCACACTGGATGACCCGCTGGGTAGGCACTCGGTGCTTTCCTCGTGGGGGCTCTGAGGAAGAAGGTGGGCGGGGCCAACTTTGTCATTTGGAGCCTCAGTTTCCCCAACCTAACAGGTGGTGGTGAAGCCAGTGATGGGTGGTTTGCCCTTGGGGGTCGGTCCCTTTGCTACTCAGGAGGCTGAGACCTGAAGATCACTTGAGATTGCAGAGAAATCCTTGAGATTCTTGGTCACCAGGGGAGCTACCTGGAAGTGTGTAGAAGTGTGGTTCAAACGGTAGAGCACCCACCTTGACAAAAAAATAAGCTGGCTGGAAAGGTGGCTCAGTGGGGTAGAGTGCTCGCCCAGCATGCACAAAGCCCTGGGTTCGATTCCTCAGCACCACATACACAGGAAAAGCCAGAAGTGGTGTCGTGGCTCAAGTGATGTTAGAGTGCTAGCCTTGAGTTCAAGCCCAGGACTGGGATTGAAAGGAAGTGAAGGAGGGAATGTGGAAAAGCAATGAAAATAGTTCCATCTCTGATTTGCCTTGTGACTTTCAAGGCCTGGTCTGTGTCACGATTAACCCAGGGCTTCTACCCACCTGGAGCACATTGGGATGGACACCAGCAGGAAATTTCTAGCAAATATCACCTGGACATTGATTGGCCATGGAGTCTCTTTCCCCCCGGGGCTTGAACTCATGGCTTGGGCGCTGTCCCTGAACTCTTTGTGATCAGGACTGGCGCTGTACCGCTTTTGAGCTACTTTGTTTTCTGGTCTCATGGACTTTCCTGGCTTTTGAACCACGATTCTCAGATCTCAGCCTCCTGAGTGGTAGCGTGGGTGCCCGGCCCTCTGACCGTTCCCCCGATGCTGTTCGTCCCCCCCCTTACCCCCTCCAGGACAAGCACCGGAGCTCTTCGATGCCTTCATCTGCTACTGCCCCAGCGACCTGCAGTTTGTGCAGGAGATGATCCGGCAGCTGGAGCAGACGGAGCACCGGCTGAAGCTGTGCGTGTCCGACCGCGATGTCCTCCCTGGCACCTGTGTCTGGTCCATTGCCAGCGAGCTCATCGAGAAGAGGTTACCTAGGGGAGCCTGGGACGGGGGGGGGGGGCACAAAGCTCCCCAAGTGTTGGGCCCCTGATGGAGTCTGTGCCTACACTAAACGAAGTCACCCCAGTGCCCATTCTCTCCCAGATGCCGCCGGATGGTGGTGGTGGTCTCTGATGATTACCTGCAGAGCAAGGAGTGTGACTTCCAGACCAAATTTGCGCTCAGCCTCTCTCCAGGTAAACTGAGTCCTGCCCCCTGGCTAGAGAACCCGTAGATCCAGGAATGTTCCCCCCACACACGCCCCAAGATACCTTCCTCCATGTTCTTTAGTTTTGTGCCTGTCTCGGGGCTTGAACTCAGGGCCTAGGGGCACTGTCCTTGAGCCTCTCTGTGCTCAAGGTTGGTGCTCTACCCCTTGAGCCACAGCACCACTTCTGGTTTTTTGGTGGTTCATTGGAGGTGTAAGAGTCTCATGGACTCCCTGTCCTGGGGCTGGCTTTGAGCCCCAGTTCTCCAGATCTCAGCCTCCTGAGATGACAGGCGTGAGCCACCACTGGCGCCCAGTGTGGATGTTTTGGAGGTCTTTGGCCACGGAGATAACGCATTCTGCGCCTCTCTGTGTCAACACACATGTGTGTCTCCGTGTGCTGCGTGGGCGCTGGCTTCTGTCCCCTCCGCTGGGGTCTGGGCCTGTCTGTGTCGGGGTGGGCAGCTAACGGCTATGTCCCATGCCCGGCCTGCAGGTGCCCATCAGAAGCGCCTGATTCCCATCCGGTACAAGGCCATGAAGAAGGAATTTCCCAGCATCCTCCGGTTCATCACAGTCTGTGACTACACCAACCCCTGCACCAAGTCCTGGTTCTGGACCCGCCTGGCCAAGGCCTTGTCCTTGCCTTGATGCACAGCTCTGGACCACAGTGGGTGGGGGACATTGGATGTGCTCACCCCCCCCTTCCTCCCTCCTCCTTGGGGTGGGGGTAGGAGTGGAAACCTGCACCTCTCTTATTTCTGGACAGCCCTCCTCAGATGACCGCCCGGGCCGCCTCCCAGCACCTGGGGAGCAGGGAGCGAAAAATCAGACCAGAGCTCGGTGCAGATCACAGCAGGAGATGTCCCAGGGCATCCCGGCTGTCCCAGAGAGATCGTTTACGGGGGTCAGGGGGTAGAGGGGGGACCTAGGTCCCCTTTCTCCTACTCAGAGTGGACTCAGGGAGTATTCCCTCCCTGAACCTCCACACCCCTTGACCAATGGATGGATGTGGGCAGTAGGGGCAGGCGTTTGCCTCCACTGTCTAGTGGCTGGTGGGTTGGGCAGGGGTCCGGGTCCCTGGTGGGGCCATCTGTCCCAGTGACCACGGGCAGGGAAGCTGTTTCCCTGTACCACCTAGAAGTAATCTCTGACAGCTTCCTCTGCCCCTCCCTCCTTCCTCACTTCCTTATCCCTTCTCTTCCTCTTTCTTCCCCCCCTTCTTCTCTCCCTCCTTCCTCTTTTCCTCCTCCCTTTCCTTACCCTTCTTCTCTTCCATCCCTCCCACTTCCTCCTTCTGGATACTGTGCCTTTTAAAGCAATTTGAAATCGCCTTTCTACCTGTTTTTGTATGCTTCCTGAAAACTTCTGTGAGATCTGAGAACGGCATCTCCATTTTCTAAAGCCTAGATTTAAATAAAGACTGTTCTATTTTGTGTATGAGTGTGTGCGCACGCATGTACGTGTGTGTGCCAGCCTAAGGACTCTGGGAACGGTAAGCTGGGGCGCAGCCTTTGCAGGGAGGGAGAGGCATGGCACCCGTGGATGGGGTTGGTATGGGACTGGGAGAAATTTCCAGATAACCAGGTGACTCCACCATTGTGATTTTACTCAGCAGAATAGCCACTGGCCACATGTAGCAACTGGGCACTTGCATTGTGACTACTTCAAATGCAGATGCGCCAGCCAGGCACCGGCCACTCAAGCCTGTTATCCCAGGAAGGTGGGATCAGAGGATCACAGTTCCTGGACCAGAAAGTCGGTGAGACTTATCTCCAATCAACTACCAAGAAGCTGGAAGTGGCACCGTGGCTCTAAGAAGTGATAGAGCACTAGCCTTGGCCGCAAAAGCTCAGGGCCAAGTGCCTGGACCCTGAGTTCAAGTCCCATGACTGGCACCACCCCCCCAAAAAAAAAATTGAAGTGGAATAAGCCAGGAAGGGGTTTGATCTGAGAGAAGACAAAGACACACTTCCTGTCATTTCCCTTCTTGTTTTGGTTTCCTGAAGATGAAATATCAGGCCTGCTTCTCCACTTCCCTAATCTGCACTTGTGCAGGAATTTAACCCAGCCCTCTCTCTGCACACGGATCTAATACTTCCTTCCTTCTGCCCAGACAACAGGGCAGAGCCCAGTGCAGTTGAAGTACAAAAGGCCTCCATTGCTGCTGCAGAGCCCTGAGGGTTTTATCTGCCCCACCAAAGTGTCATCATTTTTCTACCTATGTGAATTCTGCTTTTAAAAAAATTTTTACCCTGTGGCTTGAACTCAGGGCCTGGGTGTTGTCCCTTAGCTTTTTTCACTCAAGGCTGGTGTTCTGCCACTTAAGCCACACCCACAATGGGATTTGCCATTCATGAAAGTGTGATCTCAAACTGGGCCCGCCAGTGGCTCACACCGGTCAGCCCAGCTACTCCAGAGGCTGAGTTCTGGAGGATTGTGTTCAAAACCAGCCTGGGCTGAAAAGTTGTAAGACTCTTTTTTTTTTTTTTTTTGGGGCTCCAGGTGGGGCGCCAGAACTCTGGGTCTGGGCGCTGTCCTTCAGCTCTTCAGCTCAAAGCTAGCAGAATGCTTTGCTACACTGTATCAGCATAAGCCTTTCAAAGTAGAAGCACTGTGTATAATATCTGTTGTAAAATTTTTTTTTTTTTTTGG